GCGGGTTCTCTCCCTCTCACTCTCTCTCTTTTATTTTTTTTGAAATTATACTTGACATACAATAGCATATTAGTTTCAGATGTACAACCTAATGACTCAACATTTTTATTCCTTACAAAGTCTAGTAACCATCACTCACCATACAAAGTGTCTGTCTCCAAAACCCATGCCCCAACCGGCACACTAGATGTAGAGTGGGTTTGTGCACATACAATGCTGGGCCCTGATGGAGACGGGGTGCCCACAATGTCCCTTTACCTCTCTTGCTCGAGCCCTCAGCAGAGTTGCTTCAAACCAGAGTTCCAAGGCTCTGCTCCTGCCACTGGGAAAGAATGGGGACAGCTGAGAACCCAAGGGATGACCCACACCTTCCCTCCTGGCCTGGCGACTTGCCACAGCCTTTCACATCCAAGTGTAATCTCATCCCCCAGCGCCGCCAGGATCTTATGTGGCACCGGGTCCTGGTACTTGGTCACTTTTGCACGGTGTAGGTGATTTATAGGAAACAATATTTTCATTTTAGATCAATATATCACAAAAATTGTTCTATAAGCTCCTTTCAAATGTGATCTCCATTTCAACTTTTCACTGTTTAAAAAAAGTGGCATAATAACCCATGGACACAGACAATAGTGCAGTGAAGTCCTGGAGAGGGGGCGGGAGGTGGGTGGAAGGGTTCAATGGTGGGGGAGGCGACATCTGTAAAACTTTCAACAATAAAGATACTTTTAAAACAACAGTGGCATAAGTTGTTCAACTGATTTATTTATTTGGGCAAGAAAAAATAGTTACAGAAACATATTTACATAGATACATATATATAGTTTTTTAAAAATATTTTTATTGATTTCAGAGGGGGAGGGAGAGGAGGGGGAGAGAAAGAAACATCAATGATGAGAGAGACTCACTGATTGGCTGCCTCCTACACACCTCTACTGGGGATTGAGCCCGCAACCCAGGCATGTGCCCCAATTGGGAATCGAACCCGGGACCTCTTGGTCCATGGGACTATGCTCAATCCACTGAGCCACCACAGCCGGGCTAGTTTTAAAATATGAACAGATATACTACCATGTGTTCCAGCATCAAAAATAAATAAAAAGTGCATTCAAGACCTAATTTATACACTGAACAAAGTTAGCTGGTTTTATAAAAACACATACAAAATGCCAGTGCTTTGCTTTAAGCAATGAGGTAAGAGAGAAGGTCTCAGGTTGCCCTTTCCAAGGCCTTCTCCACAAATCCCACACTGTGGGCAAGAGCCATCTTGACTTCCAATAAATGAGAAACCATGTGGGGTGGAATCAGCACATCTTTGACGTTGTGTTTTGGAGGCGTGTAGACACTTCAATGTCCTATAAAGTAATAGTCATCCCATGAACGGACAGTGACTTGAGGAGGCAATTCTGCAACTCATTTTTCTTTGGCTGCTCATTGACTTACATTTCAACGAGGTGTTCCTCGTGTGACTTGTCTCTAAGTTCTAATAAAGAGAGGGAACGCACAATTTAAAAGAAGGGCAGCCAAAGCCACAGCAGTTGGTGGTGGCCAGGAAAATCTTGAGCTGAGTGAGCTTGAGCTGCTGATTCAGAACACTGCTCACCAGGCCTACATGAGCATGCTCACTGCCTGTGCACTCGGCGGTTCTCAAGTAGTTCAGTTTTTTTAAAAAATAGGTAAAAATTATATTATCCATTGATTTTTTTTTTTTTTTAAGAAAAAGGAGAGGAAGGAGGAGGAAAAGAGGAAAAAGGCGAAGGAAAAGGAAAAGAGGAAGAGGAGGAGGAAAAGGAGAAGTCAAAGAAGGAAGAGGAAGAGGAGGAGGAAGGAGGAGAAAAAGAAGGAAAGGGAAAGAGGGGAGATGAAGAAGATGAGGAAGAAGAGTGGGAAGAAGAAAGTAAGTGGCTATTACTGTCTCCATTGGATTTGCCTCATTGGATTTGCCTCCTTGGATAGCAGGTGGTGGGGCCAGGCCTGCTGGGTCAGTGCAGTAGAAAATCTCACATGTTCAGGATTCTTTCCATTGTGCCATACCCCGGCCCCTTTAAAGGACTTCTCATAAAATCCCTGCACCTCAGTGGGAAAGGCCTCAAGCTCTACGCTGAGCAGAAATCGCCACCAGGCTCCCCAGCAGCAAGAGGGCAGACAGCACACACCCAAACCCCGTCGTGGGTAGAAAACACCTCATACCCATCCCCTCCAGAGCCTACACAAAATGTTGGAATTGTCTTTCTTGTTTCGGGGCTCTACCCCTTCTCCTCCTCCCCCAAGCGCTTTCCTCTAGAAGTGTAAGTCCTAGATCACTAGGTAAACATCTGTTTGCCCGTAAGATATTCCTGTCTCCTGCAGATAGTGTTTGTTACAGAAGTTACTTAAAGGGGGGGGGGGGGGGGGGAGCCTACAGTTTTGTGAGAGAGAATTGTGGTCCCATTAAAAAGAACACTATGTGCTCAAGACTCAAGAATGGAATTAACCAATGTCTTACTAAGTAGTAAGGGTCACTAATTGGCTTAGGAAGAGAGGGGGAAAGAAAAAAAGGAGAAAGAAATAAGAAGGAGGAGAAAAGAGATAGAAGGAACGAATAGGAAAGGTACAAAATAGGAAGAGAATAAAATACATGGCTAATATTTATTGAGCGCGTACAAAGGAGCAGACACTGTTCAAAGTGTTTGACTTAGATCGATTGATTTAACCTTTACAACCTTCTTGTAAGAGAAATGCTATTATCCTAATTTTTCAGATTAAGCAACTAAAGCAGAAAGTCTCGGTGTCTTACACGAGTCACCCAGGCAGTGTGGAAGGCCAGGGTTGCTAGATTCAATGCCCAGGACACTTCCGTACTATCATACATTGTCTCACCCAAATGCTAATAGCACCCCTGGTGAAAAGCAGATGGCCGTGTCTCCGCATCCACATTTACTTCAATCACCTCTGCTCCTCATTCCCTCAAAGACCCACTATTGCCAGCGCAAAAGGATATTTAAGCCACAGCTGATACCTCAACCAATACTATATTTTAGCTTACATGAAGAGAAAATATTATTAGTTTGTAAAGACTGGCACTTGTCCACAAGGCTGGATTAAAACCAAGAGAGGCCCTAAGTTCTAAAAACGTCAGTCAGGCAGTCTACCGTAACAAAGCTCTGATTTTTCATCTGGCAAGTACTCTGTTTTTTAAAAAGTAAATATCAAATTCTTTTAACATTTATTTCTCATTTCTTTTGTCTTTCTATTGCGGCTCATTGCATGAAAATTTTAAAAATAACTCATCTTAAAATTACTTATGAAGTAGGTTGTTGACAGTTCAAAGTGACAGGAAAACAAGCTACTTGCTACGTCCCAGTTCTCTTGCTGAACTAACTCCATCCAGTTCTGACTCCATCACTTACCAGCTAGATGACTTTGGGTAAGGTGCTTAATCTATGCTTGCCTGAGAAATGGGGACTTAATAGGCCTGTTTGTACAGATTAGATTAAAAAATGTATGTGCCTGGTATGTAGTAAGTGCTCAGTATATTTTAGCTATTAATATTACTGTATCTTCTCCCACCCTTGGCATGCCTCAATGTTCAAACACCTTTGAATGACTAGTGTGCTCATCTGTGCTAGATCCTGACGAAATGTAGGTGACTGCCCTGACCTTAGTTTATACTCTAAGAGGGAAACAGGTTTGTAAATAAGCAAATGCAAGTGTAATCGTTACCAAATTTAAAAGGGGGAATAAAGCTATATAGGCTACATATAGTGTGGGGGTGAGGGGGTGGGGAGGGGGAGCAGGGACAAGATGGTCAGTTCTGAAAGCTCAGAAATGCCTACGAAATTTCTTTAGCGTGTTGTCACTGTCCTTGAGTATTTTCATCTAATTCAAAAGCAACGGCTCTTATCCACACGTGTAATGCATAGTATATGTAATTGTTTCAGGGAATGTTGGCAAATACTTCTTGAAAGACCATACTGCCTGAGAATTCTTTTCTGAACCCTTACTACTAAAAACACTGTTATTATAACACATAACAATCCTTAAAGCCTCATGATAAGAAAAAAAGTTGACCAACAGTAGTTATACTGCTGACTTGCATCTATGCATTCTGATTTCAGGTATGTTAAAGTATGAACACCGCATATGTGTGGAAACAACAGAAATGTGTATGTGTAGAGCGGGCATGCGTATTTGGGCTCTTAGCTGTGAATACCTATAGTAATTGAATTGTCTCTTTGTCTACTTCCCATTCCAAATCTATCCTGTACAGTGCCTTTCCCACTTCCTCACTTTTCCACTCAAAAATCGAAGGCTTCCTCCATTCCCATAAAACCAAATTCAAACCAGATGCTAACCTTATCTTTTACTTTCCTACCACTCGATCCTCAACCATCTACGCTATTATTCCATGCCCTTACCTTTCAACCCCTACTCCTCTGTTCATTTTTAATCTACAGAAATCCTCTCCAAAGATTTTTGCCTTCTTTGGAATATCTACTGCATTTTTCAATTCTATTATCTACTGCCATTGTCAATCGATTTTTTAAATGTTTATCTCCTGGCTAGAAGTATAAGCTTTTTTAAAAAACTTTTTTTTATGAGACTACAATTATGACAGTCCTGAACTCATATAACCAAACTAATGTATTCTTGGGTTAACAGTTCCAGATGATTATATAAGTGAAACAGTTAATAATCCTTGTTAGTAACTATGCTTACAAACAAGCAATAGCACGTACAAAAAGTAGATTAACCTATAGCTGCATTATGTTTATAAACAATTTCACAGCCACTATTTCATGTTGGTGAGCCTTTGCACTGTTACCCTTTCAATTTTCATTGACATTTTTGGCCACATTTGTTTTCTCCCACACATCACTGTCCTGTAACCTAGTCATTCTGCACACTAGTAACACTCCCGTTAAGCTGCAATTTCCCTTTCGATACCTAAAGTCCAGTCTCTTCTACATAACCAGCCTAGCACAGGAGGGGAGGCCACATGCACAAAATAACCAAGTAGATATTTAAAAATTAATTTATTTTTCTACTTAACATTTAATAAATGAGAAGAAACACAGTAGTCTGTCTCATAAAGAACATTTATAATACATAACGATCCATAAAGCCTCATGATGAGGTAGGAGGAACAACTTTGGAAAACAATGTACAATCATAGAACACACAGAAAGTTAGGTCAGGTGTTGCAGCACTAAAAACATCTTATGTGCTTCTGCATTTAATGAGATGATAGTAGCATTTAACTGCCACATCTGGCCCGAAGGACAGGGTATGGCAGACCCAAAACAAGACAACATGGAAGTTTCCTAAAGAATCACAGAATACACAGATACATTTCATTGTGCTGTTTCAAGGCAGAACCTTAAGATGGCAATTTGTGTCTTTTTACATACAACCACATATTAATTTTATGTTACATTCCCTTCAGCATCCTTTTGCCAAAGACACTGGACCATAACATTTTTGGTTTAAAAGTTTAAGCTGAATGACATACAAAAAGCTCTTGTGCCAGTAAAAATGACTGCCAAATATCCCAGCGCCTGCTAGTAAAACAAAAGAGCATCATCACATAGTATTGGTAGAGCTACATCAAAATAGTGCTATTACAATTTCCATTTCAGATGGTCAAACACTGTATTTGACAGTTACAATTTAAAAAACAAAACAAAAAAACCCTTTACCTTCCCAAACGTTTTAACACTGTTTTATGACTTAACTGAAACACTATTAAAATAAATATATCTATAATGTAGAATTATTCTCCACATTTATGTATGTGAACATCTTAAGACAGCAGGTAAATATCTGCTTAGAAACAGTAAAGATCTTCAACTCAATACCAGTTAGCCTACTAAGTACTTCACATTAGCTTTCATAGGCTGTTTCCCTCAACTTTCAAAAGTTCAAGATTAACTGAGGCTGTTAACAAGATATAAAATGTTAACATAGTCTCCTACCTATTGTGATTTTCCAAAGGTGGTCTGGATGGAAATTTTTCCTACTTACGTAAAATACCTTAGTCAAACATTGTTTTCTAAAATGTTAAAATACATACAGCAAAGTTTTTTGACCTTTTTTCTTGTAGGTTCCAGTCCTTACTTTTACAATGCATATGCCCTTCAAAAAAAAAAAAAAAAAAAAAAACCACTAACTAAACATTCATCTAAACTACAAGGGGTGACAATGGAGAATTAAATCTCTTATCACTAAGGCTGCATTTGGCTTGGGAAAAATTTCTGGATTGGTTTTAATTCAGGTACATACAGCACCTCCTTCTCACTAAACCGAAACGACAGACAAGTTTGCTAAACACATTCTAAATACACTGATCTTGCTCAAATATAAAAGAGCCAGCAGGAGAGGTGCACCTCCTAAAACTGATGCAGTGTTATAAAACAGCATATTTAAATATTGGGCTTACGTCTCCAAATAATTCAGGGTATTCCCTTCATTTTCTTTTAAGAAGGAATAAGCTATTTTAGAAAAGACACCTAAATCCCACAATATTTAAATATAAAAGCGTTTTTAAAAAGATGCTAATATAGCTAAAAATGGGTTAGAAAGTGCATTGTAAAGAAATAAATAATTCTCTGCCAAAACTCAAAAGGTGAGTCAGTGCCCACTGATTTTGCTATTATGACTAAGTCCTTTGAAAAAAAGAGAATGTTCCTATGGTACCACTTTGCTACATACAAGCTACTTAGAAATTATGAAAAGCGAAATAACTGAAACCTAGAGGCTGTTACCTTCAAAGTACTTGGGGGGAGGGGGGGAGGAGAGAAAAGCCCTTGTCCCAAGCTTATACATCATTTTAAAAAATCTTCATTCGGTTGATGTCTTACACATTATACAACCTTTAAAAAACAGACCCAATAAAGCATTTGTAAAGAAAACCCCATTGCATGGAATATATTTTACCAGTTATCCTATTGTATCGTTACTGAAATGTTTCTGTAACAAACTGTTTTGAGATCTTAATGTTTTGCAGTTTAAAGTGTTAAGTCAGGAATGTACATGATACAATACAATTGGAAGCTTTCTCTTTTATTCATCCATACAATGAGGGAATTCCCCAATTTCATGTCTACAAAGATACTGTAAAATTCAAAATAACTACCAATTTAGGAATCGAATTCCACAGTATCAGATAAGAGTATTAAAATGTCAAGATGTACTGCAAAATTGGCAGGTTATGGTTTTGGCCCATTAGAGTAAATGTGAACTTACAAACTGTGCTCCTAAAATCACCTCTCATTCTCATTGGAAAAATCGGTTGTTCTTAAATAGGCCCATTGCCAGCAACAGGCTTCTGCTAGAAAAACCACACCATCTACCACAGAAGATCACCCCTTTAAAAAGTTAACTGTCAAAGGCCCGCGTGTTCCTCTTAAGAAACATTAAACAATGAATTATTTCAAATCCCGAAAGGTAGCCATCTTAAAAGTAGTCATCTATAAAAGTCACTGAAGTAGTCAGAATACCTTGTTGCTAGAAAAATAGAATTATACATGATAACTGATATTAATATTCACCCTTTTGAGGACAAAAATCTAGTTTCTTCACAAAGCATAATCCCTCTCTATCAAGAAAAATACCACTTAAATACCCTTAAATAACATTTGTGTATAGCAACAATAAAATAACGAAGAACAATTTCCTGTGTAGATATTGCGGGCTCTTGCAAAATAAGCCATTATTGGAAGATCTGAGCATAATCAAGACAGGATAACTTATAGAATCTTAATGATTAATTTTGCCTTAATTCATATTGCTTTTTAAGAATTTAATATCCAAACTGCATTAACCTTCAGATTTCTTTGTTCTCCCAAGTCAGTGGCTCTTGGCAAAACACAAGCATTGCTGGTGGTGTTTGAAAAGCTGCATTTGAATCCATTCATGATTGGTCACTATGAAATGACTTTAACTCTGGAAAGTCTTTTTTTTTTTTTTTTTAAAGATTCTATTAGTAAGCTTGCATTTAACATGTAATTTTTAGATTGAGTTTAATGTCTTTAAAAACATTTACTGAATATGTGCTTCTGATGCCAATCTTTCAAAGCAAGTAATGCTGGTGAACACGTCCATGTTTTAGACTAACTTTGGTAAGGAAAAACACGTTCAAATTCTCAGGATTTAGAATGTAGTCTCAATATTAATTTACAATAATCTAAATATTTAATTTGGTAAACTTTCTTCCCTGCTCTTACTCCCCATATGCCCTATTATGTGTAAACTATAATTCAGTTTGTTAATTATATCTCACGGTTTATTAGAGCAATACTCAGCAATATAGAACACAGGATAATAACTAACCTTTAGTATGATAAATAACCCATGTGAAGAAAAAAAAACTTTTCCTAATAATATCCATCAGTCACTCTTAAAATATGCTGCCACTATGCTATCTAATGATCTTAAAGAGCAAGTAAACATTACTTAAAGTATCAAAGGAAACAAAGTTGTTGGTGATATTTTAAGTTCTAGCAATGATAATTTTAATAAACAAAATATAACACTGGGGGAAAAGAAAAGCAGAGAAATTCCAGTAACAATTTTAATTTATTTATCCCCCTAATTAATTTTAACCATGGCAAAACTGGAAATCAAATGTCATTATGTTATATAAGGTTTATACTTACTTTAAACAAAATGTAACATAGTGTTAAAACTGGCTTTTCAAAATTGTTAACAGCATACCTGTACTCTGCACTGAGAATCACAAATTGTAATACAGAAGTCTGCTAAACAGTCCCATTATGTTCTTACAAAAATAGAATTAAACTGTGTGACCAAAGACTTCAATTACACTACTTGGCAAACTTAGAATTTCAGTGGAGTCTTTTCCCTCTTGCAGTTTAAAGCAAAAGTCAAATATCACATCTTTTTCAAGACTCACAAAGATGATTCAGGTTGTTTGTTTGGCATCTTTTTCATGTCTATCACAACAGCAGGCATGTTTTCAGCTTGAGTCCTGGGCTTCTCTAGATTTTCGCTAAGTTCTAAACAGGAAATGCTAACTGTTGGGGCCTTTTCTGTATCCTTTTCAGAATAGGCTTGTGGCCGAGTCCCACAACATTGCTTCAAAGCACACTGAGTTCTGCAGGCAAGTTCACATGGGACTACACTTGATTTAGAGCCTACACTAGCAAATTCAGGCTGAATGGTAGTTGCGTGAATTCCGTGATTATGAAAAACGTCTTTAATGGTTTTAGCCACCTGCATGTATGATGTTGGATCTTCACATTTTATGTGAGCAGTGGCAATGATTCTGCTTCCAGCAAGTTGCCAAACATGTAATTCATGAACTTCCTCAACTCCTTCAACATTTCGAAGTTCTTTTATCAAATTTCTGATATCAATTTGTTTAGGAACAGTTTGTAGAAGAATAAGAGCAGATTCCTTAAGTAATGGATAAGTTGTGTAAAGAAGTATACAAACCATTACAATACAAAGAGTTGGATCTAAATATAGCACCCAGCAAGGACCAGCCTCAAAAACTGTTCCTTGAGTACTATTGATTATTTCTACAAGCGCTTTGCAGGGGTCAACGATACACGGGTTTTCACAGAACCTCCCTTCAGGACAACTATCCCAATAAAAGTAAAAGACCAAGGCATTCACTACTACAATCACTGAACCCAAAGCATCTCCAAAGACATGCAGAAAAACTCCACGCATGTTAAGTTGTCCAGCCTTTTGAGCATCATCAGCTTCATCTTCCAAATCCGTATTATCAGATTCTCTGATAACATTCCCATTCATTTGTACATCTGTTGCATTAGTTCTGGGCTTTTCGGGATCTGCAAAGAAATACAAACTTTGAATCCAATACTTAAAAGTGTTTATATAAACATCCTTGTCTAATTCCATTCAAGTAAGGAGGTGACATTTTTTCATAAAATTTTAAAATGTGCTTGGGGCAATTTAATATAAACTGACATACTGGACCACACCAGGACATAATGGCCAGAGCTAAATAAAGTCATTAAGAGGATAGTTTCCCCATTCTCCTAACCACCCTACCTTCCCCCACTCTTTTTAAAAAAAGTTCATCTTCTGTGGAGATGGGGTCCTGTGAACATTCTGCTAATCTTTTTGGCATATATCAAAAAGAAAGCAAAACTGAATGCTAACACCCCACATCAAATGCAACTATGGATAAGTCTAATACAAAGGCTTAATGTGACACAGAACCTTTTGTCTTTAAGGTGTTAAGGTTCACTTTTAAACGTTTATTATGAATATAAATGATAGTTTCTTGGTACAGAGGATTTAGAAATTGACAAATCAACAATATAAAGTTATCAAGAATCAGAGTAACCTCAGTAAAAATTGCAGCTAATTGACCACTATGTGCCCTACTCTTTTTTAGACTATTTTGAAAGTGTACACCAGTAGTTCTCAACCTTCCTAATGCCGCGACTCTTTAATACAGTTCCTCATGTTGCGGTGACCCCCAATCATAAAATTATTTTCGTTGCTGCTTCATAACTGTAATTTTGCTACTGTTATGAATCGTAATGTAAATATCTGATATGCAGGATGTATTTTCATTGTTACAAATTGAATATAATTAAAGCATTAGTGATTAATCACAAAAAACAATATGTAATTATATATGTGTTTTCCGATGGTCTTAGGTTCAACCCCCAAAGGGGTCGCGACCCACAGGTTGAAACCGCTGGTGTACACCATGATGACTTATTTCTATACATTATGAAAGAATCCCCCCCATTTATTTAATTAACACATCCATCACCTCACATATTTGTTTTTTTGTTTGTTTTGGTAAGAACATTTAAGTTCTACTCTCATAGCAAATTTCAATTATACAACAGTGTTATCAACCATAGCCACCATGTGTTACACAGCTCCTCGGACCTTATTATCTTACAGCGGAAGTCTGAACCTTTTTACCAACCTCTCCCTATTTCCCTCTGTAACTCTTAAACGTACTGATCTGTTAAAACACACACACACACAGAGCAGCTTAATTTTCTTTGGAATAAAACCCTGCAGAATAGTAATGAAAGGAAATTCAATTATCTACTAAACGTTTTCAATATACAATCTGAATTTCATTAACCTAATATCCTACATCTTCAAGACAAGGAAAACTGTCTATGTAGTATCATGCAACCAGGTAAATAAATACAAATGAGAAAAAATTGGAAGGAAATACAAGCTGTGATTCTTGAGCTTGGGTAGTAGGGCATTCATTGGTTGACTCCTTTCAACATCTACTTTCCAAATTCCTTTCAAGAGTACTTATGTTTAGAATGAACAGCATCCATTAAAAATAAAAGATGAAAAATTACTATCACTTTTAGTGTAACTGAAAAGTCCTAACTGAAATGTTAAACATGCCTAAACAGGTCCTAAGTTTAGGATTCTCAGAATTCGGGTTTAGATTTTAGGCAATTAACTGAAACATACCTTGCTGTTCATAAAAGAAACCCGAGTTCTGGAAAGTCAATGGCAAAAGAGCCCTGAATCAATATTCAGAAACTTGTTCAAAGGCCACAAGAAACCACCTGGATTTTCAAACAGCCAACGGGCTAAGAACGAACTGCTGATTCCCTCCATTTCCCAACAGGGTCAATAAACTGAATTAGGAAGCATCTTTGATCCTTTAAAGACCCAACTTAGACAGTCTCTTGAAAAGATAGCCTGTTAGGTCAGCCAAGGGCGGTAGCGCACTGCAGAGGGCTGTCGCCCACCTACACCCCCAGACGTGACCCCCCCTTCCCCGACCCCCACCCCGCTCAGGCTGCTAACACCTGCGCAGAAAGGGGTCCCCTTTGCACGCCTTCCCTGGCGGGGGCGGGACCCGGAGGGAGCGGGAAGGTGGCGGCTCGGCGCAGCGCACACCGACTCCGGCACCAGGGGGCGTGCGGGGCGTGCGGGCCATCCCGCCCCGGGCCAGGCTAGGGTCTCGGCTCGACAAACCCAACCACCTGAGGCGGCGACTCTCTCCTCACCTGTCCCGCCCAGTTTGAGCCCGTTGGAGTTGCTGCTACCGGCCACCAAGGTGTTGGTCTCCTCCTGGTCGGGTCTCTGGCCGCCCGGGCTCCTGTGGTCGCTGTCTCCGGGGCGGCTGCTCTTGCTGCGGACCCCCTTGGTGTGGCCGTGACCCCCGTGCGAGTGGCCATGGCCGGAGTTGTTGCCGAAGCCGCTGTGATGGTGGAAGAGGCACAGCCCCAGCACGTTGACCACCAGCCCTGCCACGCCGACCGCGAGGACCATCAGCGGCTGCTGCATCTCGTGCGGCTCGATGAAGCGCTCGATGGCCTCCAGCAGGATGGCGAAGCAGAGGCCGGTCAGGAAGATGGCGTTCACCAGAGCCCCCATCACCTCGGCCCGGATCCAGCCAAATGTGTTCTTCTGGGTGGCGTGGGTCCGCTGGGCGAAGCGCTCGGCCACCAGCGCCACCACGAGCGCCAGCACGTCCGACAGCATGTGGAAGGAGTCGGAGAGCATCGCCAGCGACGAGGTCACCTGGCTCACCACCATCTCCAGCACCATGAACATGAAGGTCAGCAGCAGCATGCACAGAAGCCGGCCCCGGTTCCGGCTCCAGCACCCCATGGCTGCGGCTCGGGGGCCCGCCGAGCGCGGCCGGACTCTTGGGAGGCGGTGGCTGGGAGGCGCCGAGGGTCGGTCTAGGACCTGGTGACGGGAAGAGGACGGCGCGGGACTCTCTCGGTCCGAGCCGGGCCGCTAGGGACACCGCTCAGGAGCCTCCGGGGTCGGAAGGGGGTGAGCCGCGGGTTAAGCCGCCGAGCCCCCGCGCCTGTGGGCGTCCCCGGCGGGCCGGCAGCTTGCAGCTCCGCAGGCGTTGGTTCTTGGAGCCGGGGAAGAGGCCCGGCTCAGCCCCAGCAGCCCCACACCTGCGGTGGAGCGGCGGCGTGGAGGAGCAGGGGTTCCCGGTGCCCGGGGACCGTGAGCCCGACCCGAAGCAAGAGCTGGTGAGAGGCGGGGGCGGGCGATAGGCAGGTCCGCTCTGCGAAGGCTCCCAGCATCTGAAGGCTTTCCGCGCCGGTCTTTCCTCCGCTGGTCGCCTCCGCTGTGGCTCGGGTCGAGCAGCCGACGCCGGGGAGGCTAAAAAGGCGGCGGCCACAGCAGCTGCACTCGGCCCGGTGTCGGGCGCCTGCTTCTCCCCCCCAGGCTTTGCAGACGGTTTACAAAAAAACTTTGCTTTGCACTCGGAACCCCCGTTTTCACACGGACCGGAGTATGACAAGGATCCGACGCCCCGCCCACCAGGCCCGGCACGCGTACTCATTGGCTAGAACCCCCTCACGACAGCCGCCGCGGTCCGCCCATCCGCGCTCACTATTGGATGGATCCTCGGCGGGGCAGGAGAGGGCGGTGCCGCGGCCCCGACAGATGGGGCGGGGCCTTTCCCTCCGGGAGCCGGGCGTGGGCTGGGGGGCCGCGGCCGGGTGCAGCGGCGAGCGCCGTGGGGGAGGGTAGGGGGCGAGGGCCGCGTGCAGAGGAGGAGGAGGAGGGGCGGGCTGGGCTCCGGGTTTTGGGCGAGACCCCTTGCTCTCGCCTGCGGGTCCTCGCAGCCCACCGCCCACCGCACACCTGCGGGGTCCCGGTAGCAAACAGACTTTGATCCTGGGAGCCGAGTCCACGTGGGGCGGGCCCCGCGGCCCGGGGTGACAGACGGCAGCCTGGGAGGGGCCGGTTGGGAGCCCCCTGGGTGGGGGCCCTGGTGTGCGCCTTCCTTTCAGAAGAACCTGGGTTAGGCGACAGACTCGTAAACACGTAACTGTGACCCTCCCCAACACCCAGCTGAGGAGTTAGGACTTCAGGGCGGTCCTGCGAGGGACCGAATCTCTGTAAACGTTTCAATCCAAAGCAAGTCACCCCCCTCACCACCATCCCTGGGAGACCTTATGTAAAATTAGATATTTCTGTCATGATTATCTAAGGACCATTTAAGGTAGGGACTTCAAAGCGGGAGAAACCTGGGTTCTGGTGCTTTCCCACCAGCCAACTATGTGAATTTGAGCAAGTCAACTCATCTCTCTAAACTGGCTTCTTCATCGGTAGAGAATTGGACCCGAGGAATTCCCAAGATTCCTTCTGACTCTAAAATTCTAAGGCTCTATGATTTAACAAACATTTTATTTGTAGACTACAAACTGCAGAACCCTATGTTGGTTGCTATGGGGAAGGGGAGGAGCAGTAACAATACAGAAGAATGAGCTTCTGTCCAGGTGAAGGTAAAATATAAACAAAAGAATTTTTTAATTTGCCATTAAATACTCTTTAAAAAAAAAGAAAAGGTTTTTTTTTAAAATATATTTTATTGATTTTTTACAGAGAGGAAGAGAGAGAGATAGAGAGTTAGAAACATCGATGAGAGAGAAACATCGATCAGCTGCCTCCTGCACATCCCCCACTGGGGAAGTGCCCACAACCCAGGTACATGCCCTTGACCGGAATCGAACCCGGGACCTTTCAGTCCGCAAGCCGATGCTCTATCCACTGAGCCAAACCGGTTTCGGCAGAAAAGGTATTTTTTAATTGTTGAAAATATTACAGATGCCCCCCTTCATTCCCATTGACCCCCTCCACCCCACACCTGCCCCCAGGCCTTCACCACACTGTTGCCAGTGTCCATGGGCAATGCATACTAGTATATGCATATAACTTCCCCCAGTTAATCTCTCCCCCTTATGCCCCCCACCCCAAACCGCTCTGAGATTCCTCAATCTATTCCATGCTTCTATGTCTCTGGATTATTTTGTTCATCAGTTTATTTTGTTCATTAGATTCCATGTATGAGTGAGATCATGTGAGACTTGTCTTTCTCTGACTGGCTTATTTCACTTAGCATAATACTCTCCAAGTCCTTCCATGCTGTCTCAAAAGGCAAGAGGTCCTTCTTTGTTATAGCTGCGTAGTATTCCATGATATAAATGTTCTACAGCTTTTTATCCATTCATCTACTGATGCGCACTTGGGCTGTTTTCAGATCTTCACTATTGTAAATTGAACAATAGTGCTGCTATGAACATATATTCCTTCTGATTGGTGTTTCGGGTTTCTTAGGATATATTCCTAGAAGTGGGATCACTTGGTCAAATGGCAGTTCCATATTTAATTTTTTGAGGGAACGCCATACTATTTTCCATAATGGCTGCACCAGTCTGCATTCCCACCAGCAGTGTACTAGGGTTCCCTTTTCTCCACATCCTCACCAGCACTTGTCATTTGTTGATTTGTTGATGATAGCCATTCTGACAGGTGTGAAGTGATACCTCACTGTCTTTTTAATTTACCTTTCTCTGATGATTAGTGACTTTGAGCATTTTTTCATGTCTCTTGGTCATCTTTGGAGAAGTGTCTAGTTTGGTCTTTTACCCATTTTTCAATTGGATTGTTTGTATTCCTTTTGTTAAGTTGTATGAGTTCCTTATGTATTTTGGGTATTAATCCTTTATCAGATGTCTTATTGGCAATATGTTCTCCCATACAGTGGGCTCCCTTTTCATTTTGTTGATGGTTTCTTTTGCTGTGCAGAAGCTTTTTATCTTGATGTAGTCCCATTTGTTTATTTTCCCCTTAGTTTCCCTTGCACTAGAATGTGTATCAGCAAACATATTGCTGTGAGACATGTCTGAGACTAGATTTAATAAATGAATTTGGCAACATAGCAGGATAGAAAATTAACACCCAGTAAGCAATGGTATTTTTATACACCAATAAAGAACTCTCACAAAGAGAAACTAAAAAAACAATCCCATTTACCATTGCAATAAAAAAATTAAGATACTTAGAAATAAACTTAACCAAGGAGGTAAAAGACTTGTACTCAGAAAACTATAGGACATTAAAAAAAGAGACAGAGGAAGATATAAACAAGTGGAAGATTATACACTGTTCATGGATTGGTAGAATCAACATCATTAAAATGTCCATACTACCCAAAGTAATCTGTGGATTCAATGCAATCTCTATTAAAATACCAACGGCATATTTCACATACCTAGAACAAACACTCCAAAAATGTATATGGAACTAAAAGAGACCCCGAATAGCAGCAGTAATCTTGAGAAAGAAGAACAAAGGTGGAGGGGTCACAGTACTAGATTTCAAGTTATACTGCAAAGCCATTATAATCAAAACAGCCGGGTACTGGCACAAGAACAGGCATATAGAGCAATGAAGCAAAACAGAGATGCCAGAAATTGACCCAAGCAATTATGCTCAATTAATACTTGACAAAGGAGGCAAGAGCATATAATGGAGTCAAGACAGTCTCTTCAATAAATACTGTTGGGAAAATTGGACAGGTACATTTAAAAAAAAGAAAGAAAAAAAAGAAACTAGACCACCAACTTATACCATACACAAGAATAAACTCAAAATAAAATACTCCTAATAAATTATGCCAACACTAGTTTAGATTAGATATATATGTGCCATGCTCTGAGTGGGGATTGGTTCATCTGGAAATGAAGGCTTCCTGATCCTCAGTCGTGGGAGGAGTGGCTGAAATCAAAGTATCCTGAGCTGGACTAGCAAAGGCCTCCCACACCCCTGAACCTGAGGAAGGAACCTCAACTGCTCTGAATTTCACAAGACAAATGCAGGGCTGTTCCCCAGTTTCAGTATAAAAGCTTGTTTGCAACTATGTTATTTTGCACTTTTTTATATTTCTGTAATTTTTTTTTTACCTGTATGTGGATTCCCATCTAGCTCAGTCCTGCCAGAAGAGAAAAGAATGGAGAGTTTCCAAGACATTGTAAAGGAAGGGTAGACAGGATTTGATGATTAATTGGTTAATGGGAGGGTGAATGCGGAGGAGGAGAATTTAACAAAGTTCCAATGTTTTTAACCTGACTGCCTTAAATAGGTGAGGAAATTGGGGAAGGTAGGCTGATTTTAAGGAGAACTAGCCCTTACTGGGCCCGTCTTTAGTGTGCTGAATTTGAAGGGAAGCCTGGATGGTGGAAAGGCTAAGGAGTGGAGAGATGGGTTTGGGGACTTCCATAATGTCCTCTTCTTTGGTGTGAACAATTGATGTTTATCTGAACATACTAGTACATGCAAACATAGCTTCACACCTTTCAACCAGCCCTCCTAGACATTGATATTTCTCTCTTTCCCTCCCTCTCTCCAAAATAAAAACAAACACACACAAAAAACAGGCTCTTAGGTTCAATTCAACTCAACAGTCACTGATGAGAACCTACTTTTTAAAATTATTGTTCTTTTTGACTCTTCACCCAAGGATTTGTTTTTATTGATTTGAGAGAGAGAGAGGAACGAAGGGAGGGAGGGAGGGAGGGAGAGAGGAGAGAGGAGAGAGAGAGAGAGAGAGAGAGAGAGAGAGAGAGAAGAAAAACATTGATTGAGAGAGAAACATCAATCTGTTGCCTCCTATACCCCCCCTCCCCACTAGGTTTGGGAGGACACTCCAACTAACTGAGCCACCAGGCCAGAGCTTTAAGAAACTACTTTATGCAGGCTTTCTCTCTCTCTCTCTCTCTCTCTCTCTCTCTCGGAAGCCATTTCCCAAACAATGTGCTTTATTCTCTCATAACCAGGGGGAGGGGGAGGGGGAGGGTAGGATGTACATTTTCCAGGTTACAAAAGTTATAACCATATACTTCATAAAGAGTAATATCATTTGCATAGTAACAAAACATCTCAGTCGCATAAATTCCACCCCCCACCCTCCACCCCCGGCATTGGGTAGAAAGAATACTTTGTTAGCTTGATTCAAATTTGTCCTTTTTCAGCTGGCTGTCCTAGCACAGTGTTGACACAGCCAGGAGTGGGTTAAAATGAAGGGAAAGCAGGGTTATTCACCAGCACCCTGGAGGTTGTGGCCCCAGTTTGAGTAAAATAGCTTGGCTTTTTCTTCCTAATTCTTGAGAATTCTCCTGATAATTTGCTCAAAACCGACTAAACTCAGCATTCTTTAAAGATGAGAGAATAATGCTTCTTTTGGAGAGAGACTGCCAATTTGAGAGAAAGTCAAATGTTTAACACAAACTGCAATCTCAGAGTCCTCTCAGCAGGACCTCTCCCCGCTCTATGCCCAGCTCTTGCAACCTGGAGCTTCCAGGCTCAAGGAGCTAGCAGCTAGCCTGAAGATGATCACCAAAATGTTGGTTTACGAGAATTATTTTGTGGTTAATGCTTACCTGAGGATATTGTTCCCATTGATTTTTAG